TATTTAAGCGCTGGTCCCTCACTGTAGACGTGGTCGCCGCTGCAGCAGCAGGCTCTTCTATACAGATCTATGTAGAGGATCTCACAAAGATCTGCAGACAAGAACTTCCTAGGAGCATCCCAGAAGAACTTGCACACAAGCACCAATGCAAAGCATCTTCACGATCTTAATGCAAGGACCTCTTGATGAGGATTTTGGAGGATTTCAAAAAGATTGTGCAAGATCATGCCAAGGCCTCTGACAGCATGTCACTAGGATCTCCACACCCAAGATCTTAATGCCGTGACCCCTGAAGGAAGCCCACAAGATCGTCAAAAAGGACCTGCTGCTGGAGAGGACCTTACAAAGACTTAGAAAATCTTGATACAACAGCCTCCCAAAAGCATCCCAGAAGAGCTTTCATACAAGCACGTCTAAGGCATGCCATGTGCAAGATCTGCAGGCAATGACCTCTTAGAGAAGATCTGACCGGGGTCTGCGCTTGTTCTTCTAATAAAGAACAGATCTTCCTATAAGGACCGGTAGGTACAAGGTCATGCAAGGACCTGTTACAGGATCTCATGAAAATCTTCTCAGCGTATCTTCTCACAAGGATCCTCACAAGACCTTGGTCCAGACCTTCAAAGATCACCGGGGCCTTCCAGTGTGCAGCATGAAACTCCTGCAAGATCGCCAAAGAAGGGACCAAGAGCGGGATAACCGTTTTGTGCGGGCCTGCGCAGTCGAAATGCACATTGACATATCAGGAGAGCATCCTCCTTCGGATTTGAGGACAGCGTTGCGACCCAATTATCCAGGTAACAAAAATTACCCACAAACCCAAGGCCATGGAATGAGGTTGCTGAGATCCACTTTTTCTGGAAATTGCGTAAGGTACAAAATGCCCCTTCATGTCAACAACCTTGACGTAGGAGAATTTTTCCCTAGCTACAAAATGCCAATTCGTGTTCAACAACTGCACATACAAGGGCATACATTTTGCTACAAAATGCCCGGTTGTTTTTGAAAACCCTTCATCGAGGCATACACATCCCTTACACAATGCCTCTGTTGTTCTTCAAAGCAAAGGTTTGGACCATGTTCTTTTGCTACAAAATTCCCGTTTGATGTTGATAAGCCCTTATGACTTATGAAGCTCATCATGCCGTGCTACAAAATGCCACTGCGTTTTTATGATGGCCTGATATGATTAACATGTTTCCTTTTGAAAGTGAAAATTCACAAGCCATAAAATCTTAACCATGGATTTCATGTCGCCGTTAGCCCGACTAAAACGGAAGGCTCCATAAGACCCGAAGGGGGGTACGAGAGCCATTTTACGAAAGAATTTACAAGGAAAATGCCGGGGCCCAAGATCGGGACGCCCAATTTGCGCGAGCCTGTGCACATGGACCACATGGAAATATCACAAAAGCAATTTTACGAAAGAACTTACAGGGAAAAAAAGTCGCGCCCCAAGATCGCGACGTGCAGTGTGTGCCGGCAAGGTGCATTCGAAATGCACATGGACATCTCAGAAGAACAAGTTTATTCTAGAATTTACAGGAAAAAACGGAAGCCAGATGCAGCACCCTGATCGAACCCCGGCCTTAAACCCTACTGCAAGAACCCCGCAGTGTGGACACACTGTTTGACGCAAAGCACCTCCAAATGCCATTGGCCACTGCCACAACTGCCCGCGCCCAAGAATCGCCGAAAAAGCTTTCCCACCTTGCAAAGCTATGGTACAAATTTAAACATATCAAGAAGAGCCAGCATAATATCTTCAAAGTTTTGCCTTCTCAGAAACCCACTGGTTGAAAGTTTTCATTGGTTTCGGATGTTTATCCAGTTTGTGGGCTCGTTTGGTGGTTGCAGCCCTTGTGCAAATGAGTGGGACAAGGAAAAATATTTGGTTTTCACTGGTTTTTGCTTTTTGCCGATTTCTGGGCCGGCTAATTTTGTGATTGTAGCAGCGCCCTACTTTTGTTTTTGAAGGGCGCCAGGCATCTCCAATACCTCTAAATTTTGTTTATCCCCTGGAAAGCCCAAACAAGGGTAACTAACTTGGCTCTCTCCTAGAGGTTTTCCCAACCTTGCGTACGTCCCTCTATTCCTGCCATATTCCCTGCATTTTCCATCCAAAAAAATCCGGCTGGCCATAGTGGGAATGAGTGGGGCATGTTTGGTTTTCATTGGTTTCTGACATTTCTTGCCAGTTTCTGGCCTAGTAGTTTGGTGATTAGCTGCCCACTTAGGTGGTTGCGGGGCGCCAGGCATCTCCAATACCCCTAGAATAATTTCTCCCCCGAGGAACGCCCGCAAAATGGCACTTAACCTTCCCCCTCTAGACATTTTCCTAACCTTGCGTACTTCCCCCCATTGCTTCCATATTCCCTTCATTGCCAAAGAACTCTCGAGAGAAAGTACTGTGAGAGAAAGGTGGTCCGTTGGACACTAGTTGTGCCTGCAAGTACGCTGCAAAAAAAGGTTGGCAGCAGTTGCCCAAATTGCATGATGCCTCAAGCAACTGCAACTGGCATTTCCTGCAAAAGGCTTTCAGGCAAACACCGCCAAGCTAGGAATGGCTTTTGGAAGGGCCAGGCCAGGTATAGGAACGTTTAAGCTGTTTCGAAATGTTTGACGATGCTTTGGGTATATATGAAATTATTCCATAACCTAGTTATTCCGGGCTATGTTGAGGGGTTGGATCATAATTCTAAAATTCAAGCACGCATAATCGTAGACCCACCCTGTGAAGAAATTATTCAAGGGAAATTATTCGAAAAATAGTCCATCACCTAGTTGATACCCTGGAATAATTTCTAAAGCTAAAGGGATGGACCATCTCTTGTGACGTGTCCATGTGCATTTCGGCTCCGCAGGCTCGCGCTTGGTGAGCGTCCCGATCTTGGGCCCCGGCTTTTTTGCAGTAAATTCTTGCAAAAAATTGCACCCGTGGCATGTCCATGTCAGCATTTCGGCTGCATACGCGCAGTGTGCGACGATTGTTTTGCTTGATCTTGGGCCCGGCATGCGCATTTTTCCTGCGGATTCTTGTCTAAAATGTCTATTGTGAGATCCCCGTGCGTATTTCGTGCGCGCAGGCTCGGACAAAGCGAGCGTTCCAATCTTGGGGCGCGGCACTTTTTCCTCTAAATTCTTGCGCCAAAATTTCTCTTGAGATGTCCATGTGCAGTTTGATCACGCAGGCTCGTGCAAAGTGAACGTCCCGATGTTGGGGCATGGCATGTTGCCCGCAAATTCACGCAGTAAAAAACTCTTGTGAGATATCCATGTGCATTCGGTTGCCCAGGCTGGCTCGCGCAAAGTGAGCGTCGCGATTCCCGATCTTGGGCCTCGGCTTTTTCCCTGTAGATTCTCGCGTGAACATAATCTTGTGAGATGTCCATGTGGATTTCGACCGCGCAGGCTCTCACAAAGTGTGCGCCTAAGTTTTGGGCCACGGCATTTCCTCCGTAGATTCTGGAGACATTGCTGTTGTGAGATGGCCAGGGTCCCGGTTTTGGTCCACGACACTTGCGTTGTAGATTCTCGCAAGAACGGATCCTTTTGCGAGGTCCATGTGCATGTTGACTGCGCTGGCTCGCACAAAACGGTTGTGCCGGTCTTGCTCCGTACTTGATCTTGTACAAGTCCTTATCAGAAGATATTGGGTGAACATCCTGATATATTCCTGTAGGAAACCCTTGCCTGATCTTGCGCAGGTTCTTACAAGTATGAGAAGATCTTGTAGATAGACATCCTGACAAATTCCTCTCTAAGACGTCCTTGCATGATCCTGTACAGGTCCTTAACAGACCATCTTGTGGAGATCTTGGCGGCCTCCTCTGTCAGAGGTCCTTGCATTAAGATCTTGCAGATGCCATGCCTTAGACCTTAGACGTGCTTGTATGAAAGCTCTCGTAGGCGGCTCGGCTCTTGGGCGGTTCTGGTCTCAAGATCTTGTAAGATCCGCTCCAGCAGCATGTCCTTTTAGGATGATCCTGTGAATTTTTGGCGGTGCCCCGGCATGAAGATCTTGGCCAAGGTCTTTTACAAGTCCTTGTGCGAAGACCTCGTGGAGATCCCGCTGAAATGCTGTCAAAAGCCCTTTGCACGCTCTTGTGCTGGCCCTTATGAAAAGCTCTTGAAGAGGTCCTGCTGAAATGCCCGGTGTCCTACATGATTTCGTACAAGCCCCTGTGGGAAGATCTTGTGGAGATCCTGTTGAAATAATCCTCAAGAGTTCCTTGTGTTACAATCTTGAAGATGCTGTGCATGGTGCTTGCGCGCAAGTTTTTCTAGGATGCTCCTAGGAAGTTCTTGTCTGCAGATCTTGTGATTTTTTTTTAAATAGATGTATATAGCTGCTGCAGTTGCGATCATGTCGAACCTCATCTGTTACTGCTCCACAGCTGCTGTCAATTGCTGTCAGTTGCTTGTGTCTGGTACGTTGGCTTCCTACCCCCCTACACGGTTTAGGGTCTCTTACTGGTGCAATAAAGCATGAAAAAATGAAACCCCAGGCGCTGACACAGTATGCTGCAAGGATTTTTAGAATGTTCTTTTGATTTGCAGGTGGATGAAATTCACGCGCTGACCCCAGAAGTGCCCAATGGATAAAACCTATGGGATGACCCTCGCGGAAATTGCGTGGATAAACAATCAGCTAAGGTCTGGGGAATTAACCCAAGGGCACAAGGCGGGGATTCTTTTTTCACAGTAGCTGATTATCGGGAGCTGCGGGCTTGACAAGCTCTACAGGACCGCCCCGAATACTTCTTTGTTTTTGTTCTGAACCTTCTCAAAAAATGTTCATGATTTTGGGACGGGCTTCGAACGGCTATATTCAGTTCGCATTTTTATCTGAAGCTGAAGACATGGCTGCGTTTGCTACTCGGACAAGATAACTTTCCTGAAAAACGCATGCATCAAAGAGTCACGTGGCAGGTAGAGATCTGTCGCTACAAAAACGGTTGGCATCCAAAATGTACTGGAATATGCGAAATATACCCCGGCTGCAAGTCACTTTAGCCACAAATCTTCGCCTGAACCGTCCCGGAAACGTTCTAGCTAGTGAAACCTATTAATTAAACTTGGCTAAATTGTATGCGCCAGGTGCGGCTGAACACGCCATTCATGCCCGAAAGTTGGTTTCCTGAGAACCGGCCAGAATTCGGCACAGGAACGCGTAGGAACGACAGGCCGTGGCGGCAGCACGAGCAAATCAGGTCGAACTCGAAGATTTCCTCGAAGCGGGAAGGGCGGTGTCTGAAGGCCCACAAGATGGAAACATTCTACAGCTATAGCTCAGAACCCCATGTAAAATAGGCGTGGTTAATGCGCGGGAAGGCTGAAGCCAAAGCGGTAGGGATCAAAAAGAACCGCCGGCTGTCTGCTCACAGCATTACAGGCGTCGAAAGCGTGTCCATGTCCGAGTCCAAAAGAGAAAACCACAGATTGAATATTGGTCGAAGCACCCTGGCTTGTTGCACCTTGAAATAGCTGCACTGCTGATGTGAATGCCGCCTCCAAGCTTCACAAACCCTGTGCTGGTTGCTCTTCTTTCGTAGCCGTGCCAAGACAAAAAAGCCAAAGCGGCAAAGGCGGTCTCGTCCATGGGGGTCTTGGCTGCTCTTCGTTTTCTGCGTCCTCCCAATCCACGCCTCTCCACATCCGTCAACTTTTCAGATACTAATGCATCGCAATGCTTTTTCCCCGCACTCTTCGACCATTCGCAGTAAGACCACGTGAGATTGACCGATTTCCATCATAACTGGACAACCTGGCAAATTGCATCGCTGAGAATGTTGGCTGCCAAAACTGTCAACTGGTGAGTTCGAAACTTCAGCTTCGCACAGGCTCAGGGCGATATCTAAGCAAACAATATCTGGATCAAGGTGGGCTGCTGCAAGCTGCCCCAAAATACCAAGGCTGATCTGCCACTTCCCTTTCCCTTTCGATGCCAGCAGCGATGAAACAAAACTTCCGTAGGTCTGCCCTGCAGCTTGAAGGCGCCAAGCGGGAAGAGATGTAAGGATCACTGCGCATTGCTGCCATTTTCCTGCAGATTCGCAGGTGCTCGACAATGTGTTTGCCAATATAAGATTAGGCGGCCACATTTCTTGGCCGCAACAGCTCCGAACGGCGGGGCTGGATTCGCCATTTCCTGGGCGTGGCTCCTTGCACCGTGCCAAATGCTGAATCGCCAGTTCCCATGCACGCGGTTCGTGCTTGCAAGCTGCAAGTGCCAAAGAAACTGCCACAAGAGTGGGCTGCAATCCTGCTTGCAAAGCTTCAGTAAGGAGTTCTAATGCTTCCGTCCATCGTTCGACTTTTTCTGACGCTGACATTGCAGCCCCAAAGCTTACCATGGTGGGTTGCAGTCTGTCATGCTGCATGTTTCGGAGCAAGGCGAAGCATTCTGTCCACAAGAACGAGCAGGCACATGCGTTCAAAGCTGCATTTAAACACATTACGCTCGGTTTCAAACGTTGCATCTGCATGCGCTTGAGGGCGTTTAAGGCCCACCAGCCACCGCTTGCTGAATTTGACGCTGCATTAAATGCAGCCCCGCAAGCTACAACATTTGGAAGCGGACCGTGTGTCCACATACCTGAGAAAAGATGCAATGCGTTCGGCCACTTTTTTCCCAGGCTGCAGGCGTGCACAGCAGAGCTGCAACTCACTACATCCTTCTGCAGCGATAGCGCCGGCAATTGTTGTACTGTGCTAAGCCCCAAACACCACATGGCAGCTGCGGCGCATGCTGCCACACAGGCGTTCCACGCAACTAACGACTTTTGAAGAATTGATCCGTTTTCGAGCTGGATCTGGGCTGCATGCCATGCGCAGGACTCACATGCACTGATTGCTGCAGTTAAAAGGTGAGCATCCCGAGGCATGTTTGAATTTGCCATCTCGTGCAGCAATGATAAAACACGCGGCCAGGTTGTTCCGGTTGCATACGCCTTCACGAGGGTTGTGGCGCCAATGGCATCAAGCTCAACGCGGTGCGAGGCCATGACTCGGAGCCTTATAGCAATGAGGGCGCCGCGTTGTTCGGTGTTTTTTCAGGAAAGACTTGTCAAACGAGCTGGGCGCCTTAATTACCCTTCTTGCATTGTCAAACATGGCATGGATTAAACCACGCGCCTTGTATGTGGGGGTGCCTTGCATGGCATGACTTGAAATGGGCCACATGAAAAAAGTACATTGTGCAGATGCGACTTGCACGGCTTGCGTGCTCTTACTATGCATACCTGGCAGCCTACATTGCACATGTCTTCGCCCTGCAACTGGAAGCATATTTGGCAATGTACATGGCCACCTACTCAGAAGCACTTGCGTAGGGCCACTTGCGTAAGGTTACTTGCCGGGCACTTGCACAGCAAGCCTCCGTAGGGTTCTTTGCGAAACATATTTCTTACATCTGACAATAATCTTTATGAGATATCTTTGATTGGACCCGCTGGTTCTGATACGTCAAGTGGGTGCATACCCTCTTAATGGACCCTCGCTGTCTGAGCGCGCTGGTTGTGGCGCGGTGGCTGTTTGGGAGTTAGCCAGTGATTGTTGTCGCGCGACGCCGATTTGTGTGAAGCCTTTGCAGGTCGAAGCGCTTACCACGCGGGGCCGCGTGGTAATTTCGGGGAAAATTTGTAGAAAAATCAGGCTGACGCGGAGTGGCGGCGCCAAGTTCTTTACTGTGGCGGCTGCTGTAGATGCGCCGCTGGCGTAATGAAAGCGTGTTGTTCCCCACATCTTGTTTTTCCGCTCTGTGCCCGGCCGCTTCTCCTCCTCCTCCTCCTCCTCCTTCCCTTCTTCACACACAACATTCACACGCGCAGCTCTTTCACACACAGCATTCCCACATACAACTCTTTCACACACACAAATTCTCTCACCCGCACAACTCTTTCACACACAGCATTCTCACACACAACATTTCCACACACGTGCGCGCAGCTCTTTCACACACAACATTCCCACATGCGCAACTCTTTCACACACACAACGTTCCCACATACAACTCTTTCACGCGCACGCACACAACATTTTCTGTCACACACACAACTTTCACACACAGCTCTTCTGTTCGCCCCCCCCTCCTCTGGTCGATTTTTGGCCCGTCGTCCTTCCGCCCTTTCTTTTCCCTGGCCCTTTCAGGGTTCGCCCGTTTTGGGCTAGGTGTGTTGGTGTTGGTGTTTTCTCCTTTTTCCTTTCTTCTTTTGCGTTCCCTGTCTCGTGTTCCGGTTAGGTAAGGTATCATTTCATGTTCACTGCCATCCCATTTTCGATTCCATTTCACCTACCCTGCTGCGGCAGGGTGTGTGTGTGTGTGAAACATCTGCAAAGATGTAAAACTTCCGGTTTTTGATGAGGGATGATTTTCATTGCCGTATAGTACCTCGATATAATTTGCAGGGGGCACAGGTGTGACTCTGGTTCCTGTGCCAACGAAGACGGCCAGAAGTCACAGTGATATCAAAGGGAGACGTCCCTTTGACGTACCTGCTTCAAATTTCATTTTTCGGTAATGGGACGTGGCTAACCCAAGAACCACCATGCCGTTTCATTTGTCAACCATTTGCTTTGTTCAATCTACTGCACTGTTGTCGCAATCTGGCATTAATTTATTTTATTTTGGACTTCGCTGCATCAGAACCTTCCTCAGAAAGTTTACTTCGCACTGAAATTCACGCTGGATCAACTAATTTTCCTGGCAGTTTGTAAGGGATTGTTTTGTGCACGTTTGATGCACTCCACAACAAAATTCGCAATGTTGTTTCTGAGCAAGTGTGTCATTCCTGCTGTATACGTCAAGTTGGCAGGAACCCTTCGGGGAAAGCCTTTCCAGGCTAACAATTGACAGTAAAACGATGTCTGAATTTACACTTTTGAATTAGTAATTCGTTTAAGTAAAGTGAACTGCTGGCCTTTTTTCTGGTCTCGCCGGCCGATGTTGATGTGTTGAACTGCTGCCCGCTGAGCCTGGGATCATCCTTTTCATTTGCGGCTTTGCATAGCTGGAAGTCACGTTAACAATTCCTTTTCAACTTTGCTCAAGAGAGTACGGAGCTCGATATTTTACTGCATGACATGTGACCATGTGAAGGCATCAGGACATTCCTGCAGGTGTGGTGATTCTTTCTTTTTATGGTCGTTGGTGAGGTTCAATTGTGCACGTAATTCAGGGGTTGAACACGTAAGCCGTCCAGAGGGTTGTGACTTGAAAGCCGAGGGCCTTTGAGCCTTATCACGAATATTGCATGAGTTGTGGATGCATCCCATGTTAATGGTTTAACTTTATAGTGATCGTCTGACAGTGCTGCCAAACCTGCTCTCTCTTTTGGCCATGTTTCCTGGTCGGTGGCCAAACTTTTCGGAGAACATGTGGAACTGTGGCTGGTCAGCGCCTACCTTTACTCCACCTCAACCTGCTGCGCAATTTGGTCAATTTTGTGGAGGTGATCTGATGAACCAACAGTCTCAAGCTCAGTCACAAGCTCAGTTGGCTCAGTTAAGGGACCAGAATGCACTACTACATCCACAATTGAATTCCCAAGCTCAGACCCATATTCAGCAACTCCAACAGCTTCTTCCACTTCATCAAACTTCTCAACCAACAATTTCTCATCAGACTTCTCCATCAGTACCGGAGCCACCAACAGTGCCACCTGTCCAAACTCCTCCTGCTCCAACTCCATCTCAACCTGCTCAACAAGAACCACACACCACTTTCAATCCAGAGGAGATGATGCAACAGATGCGCCATACAGTGGAATCTGGCATGCAGGCCTTTATGGAAATGACCAAAGAAAGGTCCAAGAGTCCTCATCCAAGTGGGGCACACCTTCCAACCGTGACTCCAGTCGCAGAGCCTCCACCAGCTGTCCCGTTGCCACCACTTCCACGGCTTCATCGCCGTTCCAGGTCACGGTCCAAACATATTCCGACTCATGTGGACAAACGTCCAATCTCGATCCCGAGAAGTCCAAAACGCTCCAGAAGGGACAGTCGTTCCCGCCACCATGGCCGACGCTCCCGCTCACGGGATGAATCCATGTCTCCAATCATACCGTCCCCATTCAGTCACTCTTCGTTCCAACTCTCCAAGACATCGTGAAGTCCTACATCAACGTGATGAACAACGTCGTCGTGATGATTTCAATTATTCATCCACTACACCTCAACCTCCATCCTGGCACGACTATCACTACGACCAACCTTCAACTTCCGACAAGTCGGAGTATCATGACTACTCCACCTATCCTGATCAAAGCTCCGGCAAAAAGTGGAAGTCCTGGCAGTCTTGGAAAGACCAGTCCAAGTCTCAATATTACACGCATCTCTCCGGATGGGTCGACTACTCAAAGCCACACTACAAACATCAGTCTTATGATGAACCGCCGTCCAAGTATCCTTCAAAGCCCTTGACGGCATACTCACTGGAACAACACTCCCACAACCAGGGCAATCATCCCAATCGCTCTCATTCTCGAGCTTCCACTCTTCCACCTGGCCATATTGCCATCAACCTTCAAGAAGGTTCCAAAGAGGAATGGGCTCGCCAGGTCAATCATGCTCTCACCCACCCTGATCGGATGAGAGCGGCAAATGAACTTGATGCAAAGGAGCTTCCTCAACCATCCACGAGCATTGTCCAAGAGCATTTTGATGAAGCGATGGACGAGTTGACCAAAGTGGATCCGAGAATTCCCAACGACATTGGCAGAAAGGCCATACACCTATTGTCGAGTACAGGCATCCTAACGGATTTTGATTTGTCCGCATGCTATGTTCGAGAACTTCCGCAAACAGGCATGCTGGCCTTGGTCATGCCGCTACCTGAACTGAGCCGGTATAAAATGCCCCCACCCTTTGGTGGCCAAACCCTCGTCACATGGGCTCTTGGTCATGGTACGACTCTCAGTACCGCACAGCTGATCCTTATGGAGGGCAAGATTAGACCAGCAAACTGGGCTTATCACAAAATTCCACAGAGATGTCACATGCCCACCATTGGAGCATTTTACATAGGCCGACAGATCGCCAATGCTGATAAGAACTTCCCATCATGGGCAGAATTAGAACTGCTCGACTCTATGGAGAAGAAAGGGAAAGGTCAACAAGAGATCACCATTGGGGCAATCTATAGAGGATCAGTGGAACATCTTTCACTGCGTGGTGGAGGAAACGAGAAATGTCAGCTCAATGTAGCTAAAAAGGGAATCGTCACCACTCCTGAGAAGTACACGATTGCTCATAGCTACCACGTGGGGCTGAAGTTCATCGCGATCAAATGGTCAGACCTTCCAGATGATGACCAACTGTCACGACGTCCCATTGAACTCAAGGACACCGATTCTGAGGACAATGTCAACTATCGTGCCAACGAGCGGCGTGCAGCCAGACATAAACGCTGAGCACTTAGGACAGCACTCTCAGATTGTGTATCTTTAGCTTCTTGTCCTAAATAGGATCGTGACTTCTTTTCTAGGGATTTCCTGGACAAACGCATTGGCAAAATTGCTCGATCGCAACTGCTGACATGCCTTTTTCACTTGTGGTTCACCTTTTGTTTCTTGTTATCAGGTTTGCTTTGTGACTTTGATTCACTTACCAACCTGACTGAAACGGTCCATGTTCCTCAAATGTGATGTTTCATTTCATTTCATCTCAACCTATCGGGATATATGAAGGCAATTGTTGCCACCACTGCAGCTTTTTATTCCATCAGTAATTTTGAATTGCCCACGATACCATGGCAGAGTCTGATCGATCCCGCTCACCAGCGCCTGGTCGAAATCGAGCTGAACCTGAGCCTTCTCGCCCTCCTGTACGGCAAGATCTTCCGTTCTTTCCTCGATGGTGTGGTCCTATGCAATCAGCGATCTGGCACTCTCAGCAGATGTTGCGACCTCAGTCCAGACCTCAGTTCCAGCCTCAGTTCAATATGCGTCAGCCGGGACCTTATATGATGCCTACATCACCTGATCCATCAGCTTCGATGCCCACATGGCCAAATCCAA